TGGTATCTCCCAAAAGACCCTGATAGAAATTATATAATGGTGATGGACTACATGGAAGGTGGTAATCTGCGACAATTTTTGCAGGAAAGTAAAGGACTAAGTATTAGGTATAAACTTGAAAAATGAGAAAGTATTCCTATGGGGCTAAGTGTTATTCACGAACAAAACTTAATTCATCGAGATTTACATAGCGGAAATATATTGTTTGGTTATAACGTTCTTTGGGCTTCTTATTTAAGAAAAATTAGAGGTTTTATCACTGACCTTGGTATGTGCCAACTGCTGGTTATCAAAAAACAATAGGTGGTTATCGAGAAGTAATCGAAGATATTAAATTCCACTTAGAGAAAAAGAAAGAAAGTTCTAAGCAATCCGTCCAAGAACTTACGCAAAAGAATCAGGGTAGTGAGCCGCAAAAGTATACTCTCAATTTTTCTCGGGAATATACTAAGGAAGATACCTATGACTGAGGCATTGAACTCTCGGCCGGAATAGAAACCGGGATTAGAACGGGAGTACCTTTGCTGGCAGAAGGAGAATTGTCTCTTAAATTGGAAGCCAAAGTCTCTCATGGGAGGAGCCATACTCAATCCAAGACTGAAACTATAGAAGGAATGTTAGAAGTAAATTGCCCCGCTAACTCCATGGTAGTAGCCAAAGCAATTTTGCAAGAACATAATTTAGAGATTCCGATTACTACAACAATTTCTTGCTATTTGACTGATAAAAGCGGTAATGAGAGGAAGTACACTTACAAAATAGATGGAACTTTTAAAGGAAAATATACCAAAGCATTTGTTAATTATGAGAAGGCAGTTTCTTTGGAGCAGCAAGGTCAAGTTGTTCAACCAACCACCTTTCCTTTTAATCCAGATAAATAAGCAAAGAGTCAATTTTTGCACCACAGACTAACTTTTCAAATCCAAAACTATATGAATGGCTTTTTCTACTTCTTCTAAAACCGACCAAGAGATTTTCCCCCAAGCATTATTTTAATGTTATTTTCACGTTAAATAACCAAAATCATCCTTTGTTCTTTTTCTTGGATTAGTAGCGTTTTGTTGGGTTTTTCACCACTGATAGAGGAGAAAACTACTGCCAAACAGGGATAAAATGATAGCAATGGTGGTTATTCATTGTCAAATTTTACTTTTAGTCGGTTTTTTGGTTGGATTATTCATGCTAATTTTTACTTTAATCCTAAAAATATAAATATGTGGTGCTAAAACTACATATATAAATGTCAGATTATTTTCTTTCCCACGAAGAAGAGGTGCTAGAAACTGACCAAGGATACATCATTAAACTTCGTTTGTTAAGTAAAAGATTTTTCACTAAGCAATCAGCGGAATTTCCTGAAAATTATAAATTTAGTTGAATTGCTTTTAATATCGATAATCCTAATGAGCGAATATTATTTGATAATCATCCTGGTAAGCCACCGCATTATCATCTTGATAAGTAACCAAGCGTTTACTTTGAATGAGTTTCCTTGGCAGCCAGTAGAAAGTTATTCTTCCAAAAGGTTTATGAAAGATTTGGCTATTTTGATTATGAGTAACAATATGAAAGACAAAAAAAAAGAATTTATTTTCCAGTATGACCCACAGGCTTTGCCGAAAAGAATGTTTGACCGCTTTGAAGAAGCAATTAGAACAGGTAAAAAACATATCCAACCCAAAAATGTCATGATTGCTAACCGTCTCGAAACTATTTATCGAGTAGCCAGCCAAGTTAGAATGGATTTATTAGCCTGTTTGGTAGAAAAGCAGCCGGCTAACATTCAAGAATTGGCCCAATTACTTAATCGTGATTATGCCAATGTTTGGCGAGACTGCCAAGCCTTAAATAGTTTAGGGATTATTAAGTTAAAAAAGGTCAGTTTAGATGCCAAAAAAGCCCAAATTCAGCCAATTGCTTTATATGAAAAAATTATCATTGAATTTCCAATTAAGCCAGTGAGAGAAAATGTTGTTGCTGTGCCTTTGGGGGTGTAGTGTTTGTTTACGATTTCCCCAAATCACCCATAGATTAAAGTTTTTAAGTTTTTATTCTTAATCTACTGCTTCACTGACAAAACGACTAATTTTTGTCCCTGCCGCTTGGCGAAGTTTTTGATAAGTAATTTCGGGAAAATAGATGTTAGCGTTGCGTCCAATCATATTTATATTTTTAATTGCTTGCTTAATTAGGCAATGAATATTACCTTAATTATGCGGGGAGCGAATTAATCTCTCTCCTTATTAATTAGATTTTTGTTAAAATAATATATTATGACTGATTACAATTTAGAAAAATTTAAGGTTTGATTAGCGGAAAAAGGAAATAATTCAATAATAGACTGAACCGGTTTAACTCAAACTATTGAACGACTAGGAATAGAAGGATTTTTAGATTCTGTTTATTACCAAAGAATTCAGTCTTTGATTAGAGAATGGAAATCCCAAGTAGACCAAACCATAAAAATAATTGAACCAAGTCAAACAATTGATTTTCTAAAAAAAGAAAATGAAAAACTGCGAAACCGAGAATTAAACGCTAATGAAAAAAAAATGGTTGCTTTTCGTTCAACAATTCCCGATTCAGGAGACTTAAATATGCGTATGGAAGCGGCAAACAGGATGCTAACTGAACTGGAAGAAAATGATTTAAGCACTCAAGCTAATCCTAATCTAGCTGCCGAAGGGGTGAGTTTACCCCAATGTTTAGCTGATATTCTTAGGCAATTTATTTGAATTTGCGAGCTTTATTCTCGTGAAACAAACGAACTAAACCAACAAATCACGGAATTGGAAAAAAGAATCGAGGAGTTGAATTCTACCATTCTTCTCCCTAACCAATCTCACGACTTTTCCACCCTCCAAACCGAAATCAAAAGACTAAAAATCCAAGACCTAACCATTCAAATACCTTTAAAAAAACAAGAATTAGAACAATTAATTAATAACCTTAAAAGCGAATTAAGCGAAGCAGGCAAATACTTATTAGACAAGTTACTAAAAAAATATAAAAATCTTTTGCCTTGACCGCCTTTGCTGATGGTTCCTATTCAGTGAGGCTTATTGAATTTTTTGAGTGGAGTAATTTTTTTTAATC